AGACCAGCCTGGGCAACATGGCAAGACCCTGTGTCTAATAAAAATACAAAACTAGTCAGGCATGGTGATGCGCACCTGCAGTCCCATCCACTCAGGAAGCTGAGACAAGAGAATCACTTGAACCCAGGAGGCGGAGGTTGCAGTGAGCTGAGGTCGTACCATTGCACTCCAACCCAGGCGACAGAGCAAAACTCCATCTCAATAAAATAAATAAAATAAAATAACCCCTAGACATTTATGTTAGATATTTTATTTTCATGACAGTTCAATATAAAAGAACAAATTATTATGAGAGGAGCTAGAAGGCACCTTAAGAGGCAAGTGAACCCTTTGGACAGCATCACATTGAAGTGACTCTACACAGAAGCACCCGTCTTCCGGGAGGCTCCCAGCCTCTTCTCTCTATCCTGCGGCCAGAACCCTGACCTCCAGTCCTCTGAATTCAGGACTGTTTGTTCCTTTGCTTTTCTAACAGGGAACATGAAGAGGGCTGAGAGGGCTGGAGCTGGCGAGAGGAGGGCAGGGATACAGATACACGCCCCAGCGCCTTTTCCCTGCTGCTGTCTCTCTCTTTCTCTCTTCTGCTTCACCTTTCCTTTTTTTTTTTTTAACTTGTATATTAAGTTCAGGGGTACCTGTGCAGGTTTGTTATATAGGTAAACGTGTCGTGCAGGGGGTTGTACAGATTATTTTGTCACCCAGGTATTAAGTCTCTAAATAATTCAAGGGGACCCAACATTTGCAGAAGTTACCTAGTGGCTTTAGAAGAATTTCTGAAAAGTTTGGTGTCAGTCAAATCTTTTTTTTTATTTTATTTAATGTGCTGGCTATTTGAAGTTGGAATGAATGAATCCTTGGGGAAAAAGGAAGCTTTCAAGAGCACACGTAAGCACACACCATGCTCTGGCTTAGTTAGATTTTCTAAAATCGGGCTTTGCTAAAGAAGAGCATCTGGTAGTCAGCCATAGGCCAACTGAACCAAATTCAGGAAGTCTTATTTCATGAGCAAGTTCTCAGAGAGGTTTGAGATGTTTCTGACAGAGCAGGAATGTACTTCCTACTACCCACTGCTCAGCCCTGGCAGCTCAGAGCTGGAAGATCCGCACATGCCCCTTTTGTTTGTTGGGAAACTTCCACAACCCTGTGTCACCATGAAAAAGAGCTAACTTTGTCTTCAACGAACAGTTGGAAAATTATTTTAATTTTTGCATTATATGAGATGCAAAATTGCCTCTCTACCTAGGAATCACACTGCATAATCTTACATTATCTGCATTTTCAGTCATGCCTTGAATAAAAATACTTGAGTTCATGAGGAGGTCAGGTAGGGCTGGGAAGACCCCTAGACTTCCCCCATATAGATGTGGCCTGGAAGTAAGACTGATGCACAGCAAAGCCCTGGCGACCATGCATACTCCCGAGTAAGGCAGAGGAGTGATTCATCGTATCACCACGGCTGGCTAGCCTCAGAGGAACCGAGAAAATGAAAACACATGTGTTGCTCATTAGCAAAGGGAAATACAGAAATGCTGGGCGACTGCGTGTCAGAGCCACACTCTTCTGCTGTGATCTGGTAAGCAGAGCACTCTCCATGCCCACTTCAAGCTTCCAGCTGAGGGTTCTCTTTTAGCTGTTGTACCTATTGCTGAGGATCTTGATAGAGGGCTAGCAACAAGCGGCTTTAGAAAATAAGAGCATTGGCAGGGCGCGATGGCTGAAGCCTGTAATCCCAGCACTTTGGGAGGCCGAGGTGGGCGGATCACGAGGTCAAGAGATCGAGACCAGTCTGGCCAACATGGTGAACCCTCGTCTCTACTAAAAATACAAAAAATTAGCCAGGCATGGTGGTGCGTGCCTGCGGTCCCAGCTACTCGGGAGGCTGAGGCAGGAGAATTGCTTGAAACTGGAAAACGGAAGTTGCAGTGAGCCAGGATCACGCCACTGCACTCCAGCCTGGCAATAGAGTGGGACTCTGTCTCAAGAAAAAAAGAAAAAGAAAATAGCATTTCAGCATCAACCGTTTTAACTGGAGTTAGATCCATTTTGTGATTGGATTTGATTTTTATGTTTTAGAGACAGAGTCTCCCTCTGCCTTGCAGGCTGGAGTGCAGTGACATGATCATAGCTCACTGCAATCTCGACTTCCTAGGCTCAATGGATCCTCCCACCTCAGCCTCCCACGTAGCTGGGACCACAGGTGCATGCCACCACGCCCGACTGGTTTTTGTATTTTTTGTAGAGACAGGGTCTTGCTTGTTGCCCAGGTTGGTCTCCTGGTTCAGGTGATCCACCCCCCTCGGCCTCCCAAAGTGCTGGGATTGCAGGCATGAGCCACCACACCAGCCCCCATTTTGTGATTTAATTTTCATTGTAGATTGACATTTTCTATCGCGGAATATTTCAGCAGTAGTACCATAGTTGAGGGGCCACGTTTGGGGCTGGGGCTAGGTAGTTCTTTACTACGGGAGCTATCCTGTTTACTGCAGGTGTTCAGCAGCACCCTGGCCTCTACCCACTAAAGGCCAGTAGTAACCTCCTAACCCTGCAAACTGTGTAAACCAAAAATGTATCCACACATTGCCAAATGTCCCATAGGAAACAAAATCACACACCCATACACATACACCCCCCCACACACACACACTCACACACTTTTAAGAATCACTGCTCTGGCCAGTCAAGGTGGCTCACGCCTATAATCACAGCACTTTGGGGAGCTGAGGCAGGCAGATCACTTGAGGTCAGGAGTTTGAGACCAGTCTGGCCAACATGGGGAAACTCCATCTCTACTAAACATCAAAAAATTAGCTGGGCATAGTTGTGTGCACCTATAGTCCCAGCTACTAAGGAGGCTGAGGCAGAAGAATCGCTTGAACCTGGTAAACAAAAGTTGCAGTAAGCCAAGGTCACGCCACTGCACTCCAGCCTGGGCGACAAACCAAGACGCCATCTAAAAAAAAACAAAAACAAAAACACTGCTCTATACGAAAGAGGCAATATAAAATAATAATCTTTTTCCGAAATTGGTTGTGCATTTAAAATAGATTCCTGGCTGGGAACAGTGACTTACGCCCGTAATCCCAGCACTTTGGGAGGTTGAGGCGGGTGGATCACTTGAGTTCAGAAGTTTGAGACCAGCCTGGGCCATATGGCAAAACCCCATCTCTACTAAAAATTAAAAACATTAGCTAGGCATGGTGGCACACGCCTGTAATCCTAGCTATTTGAGAAGCTGAGGTGGGAGGATGGCTTGAGCCCAGGAGGCAGAGGACGCAGTGAGCTGAGACTGTTTCTCTGCATTTCAGCCTGGGAGACAGAGCCAGACCCTATCTCAAAAAAACAAAAACAAAATAAATAAATAAAATAGATTCTAAGATTTGACACACATCGAGCCCTGTATGTTACTGGTTTGTTCCCGGCATGGAGTAGACAAGGATTTCTTCTCTTTGAGTGGCCTTCACAGAAACCCAGACTCTTCCTCACTCAGTGTACTCTCTTGCACTCATGTATCGCTGATAATATTCATCTGATTATTAATTCAGTAGTAGGCCGTTAATTGTGCATGTTCACTTGTGCAGCAATATTTCTTAGTGAGCTCTCGCCACATGCCCTGGTGAGGGGCGGCCTCACCTCTTAAACAGGATTCCCACACCGTTGAGCACCCGTCCACCTTTCTCAGCTTGATATGAGAGCTGACACTTCTGGGAGGTAGAAATGCATCTGGCATGGAGGAGCTTGGTCCCTAGAATCAGACAGACCTGGATTCGAATCCTACTTCTACTGCTTACAAGCCAGACAGCCTTGGACTGATGAGTGAACCTGCATGCCTCAGTTTCCCCATATGACCATGGGGATGATTTTGTCTACCTGGCAGGGTTCTGCATGGCCTTAGTGAGATCACATATGTCAGACATCAGTAAATGGTAACTTGTTCTCTGTCAATCGATAGCTGTAAGGTATGAATTGCCATCTTTGTAGGTCAAAAAACCATCAAATGTTCGCAACTTCATACAGTTGGACCTAATATGGAAACTCCAGGTCACCATCATGCTGTATTCTTTGCTCTGTGGATGTCCAGCAGATGAAAGGGGTGGCTCTGCTTTGTTATTTTCCTGCTCCTTCTGAGGAGGCCTGCTGCTGGCACAATCTAACAGACTTCGTAGGGGACAAAGTCAGTCTCTGCCATCATCAGTGTTCACAACCAGCATGTAGTTTTCAAATTGCGTCCCACGTGAAATTGCACTTTTCCAACCTTCCAGCCAGTTTGTGTGGAAATAACCATTGTATTGTATTAATAGCAGTTCTTCAACTCGGGCCTGCCAGAGGGATGCTTGGTTTGTTTTCTGTTTGTTCTCTGGGTATCCGTCTTGGACAAACAGTTCTCTGATGTCTCTGTATTTATGTGGCAGGTCACCCTGCTAATTGCCTTCATCTGCGTGCGGAGCTCCCTGTGGACCGACTACAGTGCCTACAGCTACTTTGAAGTGGTCACCATTTGCGACTTGATAATGATCCTCGCCTTTTACCTGGTCCACCTCTTCCGCTTCTACCGCGTGCTCACCTGTATCAGCTGGCCCCTGTCGGTAAGAGCCTGGCCCTGTCCTCTGCGTGCAGAAGTCAGGATGCTAGCTGGCGCACTGAGACCTGACGGAGTTTTTCCCGTCTGCCCATCTCACCTCTTTAACCATTCTTTGCCGCCTCTGCCCTGAATTTCCTATCTGGTGGACATCTCTGCCTGATGTCCTGCTGGTTTTTAAAACTCACTTTCCAGCTATAGGAAGGCTGTGGATATTGCTCCAGTGCCTATTTCCTCAAGCAATAGAGAATGGCTGTGTGTGTGTGAGCGGGGAAAAGAAACACAGAAGGAAACGGTAGGTGAAGATGATGGGTATGGATGCCGTTGTGAGGATTCAATGATAGGATCTCTGGCTAAAAGGGACTAGTGGGGGCTGAGGAGACAGTCCGAAGTTGCCAGGCTTTTTCTTCCCACTCTATTATTTTTTTAAGCTTCATTGATAGGCAGTTCACATGCTGTATCGTTCACCCGTTTCAAGCGTACAATTCAATGGAGTTTAGTCTATTTCCGGAGTTGTATAACCATCACTATAGTTAATTTTAGAACATTTTCATCATTTCAAAAAGAAATTCCATACCTTTTAGCTGTCACCTTCCTACCACTCATCCCTTCAGCCCTAAACCATCACTAATCTTCTGTCTCTAAAATTTTTCTACTCTGGACATTTCTTGTAAATGGAATTGTATATGTGGTCTTTTGTAACTGGCATCTTTCACTCAGCAGAATGTTTTCATGGCTCATCCGTAATGTAGCAGGTATCAGTACTTCATTCCTTTTTTTCTTTTCAGAGACAGGGTCTCGCCGTGTCACCCAGCCTTGAGTGCAGTGATGTGACCACGACTCACTGCGGCCTCAACCTCCCAGGCTCAAGTGTTCCTCCCACCTCAGCCTCCTGCGTAGCTGGGACTACAGGTGCATGCCACCACACCTGGCTAATTTTTGCATTTTTTTTTTTTTACAGAGATGAGGTTTTACTGTGTTGCCCAGGCCGGTCTCAAACTCCTGGACTCAAGCAATCCTCCCACCTTCACCTCCCAAAGTTCTGGGATTACAGGCATGAGCCACCATGCCAGCCCTTTTTATAACCAAATATTATTTCATTGTAAGGCTAGACCAGACTGCATTTCATTTTTCATTCATCATCAGTGGATCTTTGGGTTGTTTTCATCTTTTGGCCATTATGAATAATGCTGCTACAAACATTCATATACAAGTTTTTTGTGTGGACATATTTTCATTTTTGTTTGGTATATATCTTGGAGTGAAATTGCTGAGTCATAGGGTCACTTTGTATTTAATTGTTTAAGGAACTGCCAGACTGTACGCCAAAGCGGCTGCACTGTTTTACATTCCCACCAGGAGTATATGAAGGTTTCAGTTTCACCACATCCTTGCCAACACCTATTATCTGACTTTCTGATTCCAGCCATTCTAGTGAGTGTAAAGTGTTATTTCCTGTGGTTTTGATTTTCATTTCTCCAATGACTAGTGATGTTAATTATCCTTCCATGTGCTTTTTGGCCATTTTTATATTTTCTTTGAAGACATGTCTATTCGAGATCTTTGCCTGTTTTTAAATTAGGTTATTTGTCTTTTCATTATTGAGTTGTGGGAATTCTTTCTATAGCCTTGATAAAAGTGCCTTATCAGCTATATGATTTGAAAATATTTTCTCCCATTCTGTTGTTTTTCACTTTTTTGATGGTGTCCTTTAAAGCACAAGTTTTTAATTTTGATAAATTCAGTTTATCTGTTTTTTTCTTTTTTAGCTCATGTTTTTCTTCTCATATGTAAGAAGCCATTGCCAAATTCGGATTGTGAAAATTTACTTCTATGTTTTCTTCCAAGAGTTTTATAGTTTTAGTTCATACATTTAGGTATTTGATCCATTTTGAGTTAATGTTTTTTGCATATGGTGTGAGGTAAGGGTTCAATTTCATTCTCTTGCATGTAGATATCCAGTTATCCCAGCACCATATGTTGAAAGACTCTTCTTTCCCCCATTGAATCATATTGGCAACCTTGTTGAAATCAGTTGACCATTAAATACATGAATTTATTTCTGTACTCTCAGTTCTATTCCAATGATCTATATGTCTATCTTTATGCCATTATCACACTATTTTGATTACTGTAGCCTTGTAGTACATTGTAAAACTAGGAAATGTGAGGCCTCCCAATTTGTTCTTCTTTTTTAGAATTGATTTGGATCATTACAATTCCAAACGATTTTTAGAACCAGGTTTTCAATTTCTACAAAAATCAGCTGGAATTGTAATAAGAATTATGTTGAATCCATAGATCAATTTGGAGAATATTTCTATCCTAATATGAAGTCTTATGATCCATAAACATGGAAAGTTTTTCCATTTTTTTAGATAATCTTTTATTTTTTTCAATGTTTTGTAGTTTTCAGAGCAAAAGTTTTTTTTGGGGTTTTTTTGTTTTGCTTGAAACAGGATCTTGCTCTGTTACCCAGGCTGGAGTGCGAGGCAAGATCATAGCTCCTTGCATCCTCAAACTTCTGAGCTCAAGCAATCCTCTTACTTCAGCCTCCCAAAATGCTGAGACTACAGGAATGAGCCACTGTGCCTGACCTGAAATTTTTAAATTAAATTTGTGTCTAAGTATTTTATTCTTTTTGATGCTATTTTAAATGGATTTTTCCTTAATTTCCAGATTGTTCATTGCAAGTGTATAGGAGAGTCCAATTACTTTTGCATATTGATTTGTGCCCTCCGCTGTGCTTAACTACTTAGTAGTTCTATTTTTCTAATATATTTTTAGTGGATTCCATAGGATATACTATAAACGATCTGCAAATAGAGATAGTTTTACTTCTTCCTTTATAATCTAAATGCCATTTATTTCATTGTTTTGCCTTATTGCAGGAAATGAACTGAATAAATTAGATATTGAATAGAAATGGCAATGCAGCCATCATCATCTTTTCCCTCATGTTAGGTGGAAAGCATTCCTTCTTTCATCATTAAATGCAACATTGGGTGTGAGCGTTTTGTAGGTACCCTTTATCAAGCTGAGGAAGTTCACTTGTAGTACTACTTTGTTGAGTGTTTTTATTGTAAAACAGTGTTAGATTTTGTCAAATGCTTTTTCCATACCTACTGAGGTGACAAGATGGGTTTTTCTCCCATTATTCTGTTAATACGGTGTCTTACATTGTTGTTGTTGTGTGTGTTTGTCAGTGTATTTTTGTTTGTTTTTGAGACAGGGTCTTGCTCTGTCATCCAGGCTGAAGTGCAGTGGTATAATTATGGCTCACTGCAGCCTTTATTTCTCAGGCTCAAGCAATCTTCCCACCTCAGCCTCCTGCGAAGCTGGCACCACAGGTGTGCACCACCATGCCTGGCATTTTTTTTTTTTCTTTTTTTTTTTTTTGGGCAGAGATGAGGTCTCCCGATGTTGTCCAGGCTGATCTTGAACTCCTGGGCTCAAGGGATCCTTCTTCCTCGGCCTCCCAAAATATGGGCATTATAGGCATGAGCCCCCACACCTGGCCTGATTAGTTTGTATATGTTGAACCAACCTTGCATTTGTGGGGTGAATTCCATTTGGCCATACTGTATAACCCATTTCATATGCTGGTGGATTCAGTTTGCTAATATTTTGTTGAAGAGTTTTTGCATCTATATTTAAAAGAGATATGGGTCTGTAGTTTTCTTTTTTTCTAATGTCCATCTGGTTCCAGTATCAAGGTAATACTGACCTCACAGAATAATTTAGGAAATATTCCCTCCTCTTTTATCTATTAAAAGAGTTTGCGCAGAATTAGTATTAATTATTCCTTAAATGTTTGGTAGAATTCAGCAGTGACACCATCTGAGTCTGGGCTTTTCTTGTGGGTAATTTTTTTTTATTGTTAATTCAAACTCAATTTTGCAATCTTTTCAGATTGTGTCATTTATTCTGGAGTCAATTTCAGTAGTATATGTGTCTAGGAATTTGTTCATTTCATCTAAGTCATTGAATTTATTGGCATGCAATTGTTTATTGTATTTCTTATATCCTTTTTATTTCTGTAAGTGCAGTAGTGTTTCCTCTTTCATTTGCATCTTTCTCTCCCCGCCCCCTTTTTCTTTGATCAGTCTAGCTAAGGATTTGTCAATCTTGTTGATCTTTTCAAGAACCAGTTTTTGGTTTCATTGATTTTGTTTTTTATTGTTTTTCTATTATCTTAATAAATTTTGCTTTTATCTTTATTATTTTCTTTCTTCTGCTTGCCTTAGGTTTAGTTTGATTTTCTTTTCCTAGTGTCTTAATGTGTAATATAGTTTGGATATCTGTCCCCTCCAAATCTCATGTAAAAATGTGACTCCCAGTGTTGGAGGTGGGGCCTAGTGGGAGGTGTTTGGATCATGGGGGCAAATCCCTTATGAATGACTTGGTGCCATTCTAGTGGTAGTAAGTGAGTTCTTGCTGTTAGTTCCTGTGAGAAGTGATGGTTACAGAGAGCCTGGCGCCTTCCTCCCTTCTCTTTCTTGCTTCCTTCCTCTTGCCATGTGATACCTGCTCACCTTCACCTTTGCTTCAGGGGGTAGAAGCTTCCTGAAGCTCTCACCAGAACCAGGTACCGGTGCCATACTTCTTGTGCAGCCTGCAGAACCAAGAGCCAAATACAACTCTTTATTTATTATCCAGCCCTGGATATTCCTTTATAACAATGCAAACAGACTGAGATGATGTTTAGGTTATGAATTTGAGACTTCCTTCTCCTTTAATATTGACCTTTAATCTGCCCCTGAGAACTGTTGTACTAGTATTCCGTAATTTTGGTATATTGTGTCTTTATTTTCATTTATCTCCAGATATTTTCTAATTTCTCTTGTGATTTTTTTGAGCCATTCATTATTTGGGAATAAGTTGTTTAATCTCTACATAGTTGTGTATTTCCCTAATTTCTCTCTGCTCTTGATTTCTGATTTGATTCCATTATGTTCAGGAAACATATTTTGTAGTCCTTCTACCTTTATTGAAGTTTGTTTTGTGGTCAAATATCTGGTCTAACCTGGACAGTGTTCTATGTACATTTGAGAAGAATGTACTTTTTTTTTTTTTTTTTTTTGACGGAGTTTCGCTCTTGTTACCCAGGCTGGAGTGCAATGGCGCAATCTCGGCTCACCGCAACCTCCGCCTCCTGGGTTCAGGCAATTCTCCTGCCTCAACCTCCTCAGTAGCTGGGATTACAGGCACGCGCCACCATGCCCAGCTAATGTTTTGTAGCTTTAGTAGAGATGGGGTTTCACCGTGTTGACCAGGATGGTCTCGATCTCTTGACCTCGTGATCCACCTGCCTCAGCCTCCCAAAGTGCTGGGATTACAGGCTTGAGCCACCGCGCCTGGCAAGAATGTACTTTTATACATTGTATATTTGTGTATTATACTTTTGTTGAATAGAGTTTTTATAGAGGATTTTTAGGTCTGGTCATTTTATGGTGTTGTTTGAATCTTCTGTTTCCTTGTTGACCTTCTACCTGGTTGTTCTATACATTGATGAAAGTATGGATATTGAATTCTCCAACTATTATTTTTGAATTGTCTGTTTTGCCTCCTTCATTTCACCATTTGTTTCTTCATGTATTTTGACTCTTTTATTAGGTGCATGTATGTTTATGATTGTTGTATCTTCCTTATGGATTCAGCTTTTCATTATTAGAAAATACCCATCTTTATTTCTAGTGACTTTTTTTGTGTCTGAGTCTATTTTGTCTGATACTAGGTATAGACACCCTGGCTTTCTTTTGCTTGCTGTTTGCATGCCATATCCTTGGCTTTGAATATAAAGTCTCTCTCCCATAGACAGAACATACTGTAGTTGTTTCTTGTTTTGCTTGTTTTTTAATCCGATCTGACCACCTCTGCATCTTGATTAATTGTTCACATTTAACATTATTACCCACTGTTATTTTGAGAGAAATTTCTTTTGTTTCTAAGTTCTAAGGCCCCTTTCAAAGTTATGGCATTTTTTTTCTGCTTCTTTTGAGAACAGATTCCTTTGGGCTTCCCTGATGCTGATACTGAACAAGCAAAGGAGAGAACAAAAGCTCAGGGACAAACCCAAGAGTGGGCTCGGTGGGGAATGAAAGCTGGAAGGACAGACTCAGCCACACATTTTTGGCTGAGAAAGTATTTAGATACTTGCAGTTAGGATTCTCTCAAGTTGGTTTTCTCTGTCCCATGTCATCCTCCTCTCCTCTTCTTTCTTAATCGGTGAGAATTTTGGAGGTGGGGAAATTGCAGTTCCTCATCTGCCCTTTAGTTAAAATCTCTGTGATCTATCTTGTGATATTCCTTTCTAGTCACTAAGGGAGAGACCAGGGTCTTTGACTTTGCATAGCTTTGAGAGGAGCCACAGGTTTAAATTGGAATGCTTTTCCAGAATGTAATTACTGCCTGCCCCAAGGGACAGAACTTCATGAAGGAATGATTTCTAAATTCTCATTGAAGACAACTGACAACGGATGCCCTCTGGATTCAGAGTAAGCACTGGAAGGGACCCAGCCTCAGTTCTTCTCTGATCTGGCGTTTAATGGGGAAGAGGAAGGGTGACATGGAAGCTTTCCCTCGCCACTGGAAAGCCCAGTCTCATCCAGGGTGTGCAAGGATGCTGGTTCGTCACGATGAGTGAATGGGTGGAAATGCACGACCCACGCGCCAAGGCGAGAAGCAAAGGTGAAGCCAGTCCTGCCAGTGGATTCATTGGCAGAGCTTGGCCAGAGGGTACTCTTCTGGAGATGAGAGAAGAGGGAACAAGAACAAAAGAAGGCAGGAAGGCTCAGGAGTGAGAAGCCGCAGCACCACACGTCCACGGGCTCTTCACACAAGTGCACTGACCTCAATCTAGAGTCTGAGTCTGATGGGCGGGGGGAGTGGATGCCTCTGAAGTCCACACTCGGGGCCGTTCACAGAGCGGGCAGATGCTCCGGTCAGCCACACAAGACCAGCCCATTGTTAGCCCAGAACGTTTCTGAAGAAGAGAAGGGCACACATCTCTTTAAGGCACTTTGCTTCTCAGAGCTGGAGCTTTGTTTAACTCTCCAGCCTGGAAGTTGCAGGACGCTCATCTGCTGTTTGTAGCTTGAGCCAGAGGTCAGGCCCTGTCCGCAGATTGCTCTCAGGAGTGGAGGCGTCCTTAGTGGCTATCCCTGCCCACACGAGAAGCTTCCTTTCGCTCTCCTCTTCCCTTCCTGCCTGCCCAGCATCACTTCTGTCTTGCTCGGCCTCTTCCTGGTCAGCCCCACGCTGGCTGCCTGCGAGCTGCACTCTCATCCCATCTGCGTGTTGCGAGGGAGAGGAGGACACGTCACTCTCTCCCTTTCTTTTCATCTCTTCCCAAACCAGGAACGGACCACCCTACCCACGTCTTTGCTTTGTTTCTGCCCCCAGGAACTTCTGCACTATTTTATCGGTACCCTGCTCCTCCTCATCGCTTCCATCGTGGCAGCTTCCAAGAGTTACAACCAGAGCGGACTGGTAGCCGGAGCGGTGAGGACGTTTTGGGGAGCCTTTAGGAATGAATTCATATTTAAAATGCTCATTTTCTTCCTGATGGGGGAAGGAAAGGGGTTGGTTTCCGGAGCATTCCTTTCACAGAATCGTCAACACCTACCTTCATCCAGCCATCAGCTCTCTCCAAAGAGCGGTGAGCGGAGGCTCACAGTCCCAGAAGGTGGATTGTCAGGGCTGCCAGCAAATCCCGAGCCCCAGCAGCCTGGCCTTTCTCTTTTATAGCCACTACTGCAATCAGGGGACCAGGAAGGTTTTAATTCACACACTCACTCTGATCATTTGTTCGCTGGCTGCCTCTGCCCTGTGCAGAGACAGATTCTGTGACCTCTTTTGGGCCCAGAGGGGAATGCACTGTGATCAATTAGAGATATCTGCCATAAGTCTGGGCTTTGCCATTCCTGATTTTTAACAGGATTCAGGCCAGGAAATAATCCTCCTGTATCTTTCAGGCAAAAATTGATCCATTTGCTGGCCATAAATAGAAGTAGATGGAAATATACAAAAATGCAGTGCTGTGAGATATATACATACATATCTATGTTTATATACATACAGACATATGTACTGTTTTTTAAAGATTCATAGATTCCTGTCATCTGATTGCTGATTTAGCTAACTGTTTATAGTTCAGTGGCCTGTGGGCCAATACTGATTTGCTTCACTGATGAGCAGACGAGATTTTAAAAATGAGTTTTAAGAAAAGCTCTCTTGAGCCAGATGTGGTAGCATGCACCTGTAGCCCCAGGCGCTCGGGAGGAGTGCGTCTGCCCAGAGGTTTCAGCCTGGCCTGGGTGATGTAATGAGACCCCATGTCTTAAAAAAAGAAAAAGAGAAAAGGAAAGCTCTCTCTGTATGTGATACTCACGGTATTTCATTTACACATATTACCAAAATCTTCCAGACTTTGGCCTGGGAGTGGGTTGGCTCCTGGAATTCCACTGCAGGATGGAGTTTCTCCTCTGAAGGTCAGCATGGGGGCAGAAGGTCACTATAGAGAGTGGCCCTTCCACAGCCCGCCCTCCGACCCCTCTGCCCCTTTCTCTGCCATCGCTGAGGAGAGGGATGGTTGCCCCTGCAGCTAACGCCTGCCCAGTACAGAGCAGGCTGGTGGAAGAGGCCTGTGCCCACTGTGTTTTCGGGCCCACATGGGGACATTCCCACTGTGTTTGGGAATCCGCTCAGCCCTGGAACCTCTATAAGCTAACATTCATCCTATGCTGTCTGTGTGTCTGGGACCAAACCTGGGCTGTGGGGAAGTTAGAAGAAATTTTTAAAATATGGCCTGTGCTGATAAGAAAGTGGTCATCTAGCTTAGGAGACAAGACACATGAAACAATTAGCAAACAAGGCACTGTAGTCTAGAATAGCATTCTGTAGCGATATAATAAAGTGTTCAATTATGCAGCGCAGACAGTTGGGGGCCGGGATGGTATATAAAGTGCTAATTGTGCAGAACAGACAATGAGAGGCCGGGACAGGCCCTAATGGGCTAATTATGTGCTGCAGACAATTGGTACAAAAGGAGCCCAGGGAAAGGAACCCGGGGAAGCAGTGGGTGTGCGCTGGTGGGGGCAGCTGTTTATGTAAAGCAGCAGCTGGGCTTGAAAAGAAAACCAAACCTTGTTGAAAATCCTACCCTTAGCTGGCTGCCCCTGCATCATTCTCACCGGACACTGTGGCGGTGTAGGGAGCCAGACGCTGCTGTGTGGGTCTGAGGACACCTAGGCACCTGCACGGCAAAGCATGGACTCTGGAGCCAGGCTCCCTGGGCTCCCATCCCATAGCTGGCCCTTGCTGGCTCTATGGCCTTTGGCAAAAGAGTTGCCCTCCTGTACCTCTATTTCTTTAGCTGTGAAATGGAGGAGCAGGGATGGGTAATCCTAGCACCCAGCCAGCAGAGCTGTGAGGGTTAAAGGAATCAACATACGGCTCTGTTCTAAGTGGTCAGTAAGTTTTCACCATGCAGCTGCCAGTGTTATTCACAAGTAAGGCAAATGCCTGCAGGCTTCAAAGCCCAGAGATTCAGAAGCTACCTGCCTCCCCTCGACCACTTCATGGGGCATTCTTCCTCTCCTCGCACCTGAATCCTCATCTACAAGTGAGGGGGCTGGGCTAGGTCAGCCTTCTTCACGCTTGAGCGCCGGATGGACACTGAGAAAGGGAAAGGGTGCTGCCTTGACTTCGTTTAGTCTCGTATTGTTTAATATGTACAAACATAAACCTAGATGTAAAGGCCTCGGCTTCTGGCTCTTACACGGCTATCAAGCCAGAACAGAACAGAAAGCCATCGCAAATGAAATGCAAACACCACCACCACACCACGAACCATGGAAACGTTCGGATTTTCTAAACCCAAATTAAAATTTCACCCTTTTCTTTTCTACTTGTCCAGGCTAATCAAAGTCCATTGGCTTAGCCCCAGCTCGCTTGTAAATGTAAACCCAAACCGGGCCCTGGAGCTGCCAGGAGTGAAGACCAAGAGGCCTGGCTGCCAGCCCTGACCTGGCCCAACCTGGGGGACCGGGGCCAGCAGCTGGGCCTCTCTGGGCTTCCTCTCTGTACCCGATCAAGGACAAGGTGGTTGGGTTAGATGACTCTCCAAGCTCCTTTCTGGCCAGGGACGTAAAGGGAACAAGCACAGACATGAGAAGCAGGCAGGATTGCCCAAGGAATTGGCCCTATGGCCGTGAACATCCTCTCCCCTCTCTCCACTGCAGATCTTTGGTTTTGTGGCCACCTTCCTCTGCATGGCAAGCATGTGGCTGTCCTACAAGGTCTCCTGTGTAACCCAGTCCACAGGTGAGTTCTGGTCATCTGTGCACAGAGGCTCTCAGGAACAGGGGGGCGGCTTGTTCTTGACTTCAACCGTAGGGACGAACCCTGCTGTTGAGAAGGGTGTCCCAAGGGGACTTTAGAAGTCGTATTAGAGCTCAGGGGGTAGCAAAGGGGAGATGTCACCGCAGAACCTCTGCTCACATTCCCATCTCACATGTCCAAGGATGCCCTAGCACTTCAGCCTCAGGTGGCCAAACTTTTTTTCTCTTGCTTGCTTGCTTGCTTGTTTTTTTTTTTTTTTTTGAGACAGAGTCTTGCTCTGTCGCCCAGGATGGAGTGCAGTGGCATGATCTTGGCTCACTGCAATCTCTGCCTCCCAGGTCAAGTGATTCCCCTGCCTCAGCCTCCCACTTAGCTGGGACTACAGGCGTGCACCACCACGCCCAGATAATTTTTTTTATTTAGTAGAGGCTGGTCTTGAACTCCTGACCTCAGGTGATCCACCCACCTGGGCCTCCCAAAGTGCTGGGATTACAGGCAAGAGCCACTGCGCCCAGCGTCTTTTTTTTGGATAGAGTCTCGCTCTGTCGCCCAGGCTGGAGTGCAGAGGTGCAATCTCGGCTCACTGCAGCCTCCACCTCCTGGGTTCAAACAGTTCTCTGCCTCAGCCTCCCGAGTAGCTGGGATTACAGATGCCTGCCACCACGCCCAGCTAATTTTTTGTATTTTTAGTAGAGACAGGGTTTCACCATGTTAGCCAGGCTGGCCTTGAACTCCTGACCTCATGATCCACCCACCTCGGCTTCCCAAATTTCTGGGATTACAGGTGCGAGCCACTGTGCCCAGCCCGCTCTCTTTCTTTACTTTTTTTTTTTTTTTTTTGAGATTGGGTTTTGCCCTGCTGTCCAGGCTGGTATAGTGGTACAATCACAGCTCATTGCAGCTTCCACCTTCCAGGCTCAAGTGATCCTCCAGCCTCAGCCTCCTGAGTACCTGGGACTATAGGCATGCACCACCATGCCTAATTTCAATTATTATTTTTTTTTTACGAGATGGAGTCTCACCGTGTTGCCCAGGCTGGTCTAGAACTCCTGGGCTCAAGCAGTCCTTCCACCTCAGTCTCTCAAAGTGCTGAGATTATGGACATGAATCACCGTGCCCAGCCAGCCTACTTTTTCTTAAGTTTCCTAATGACACAGATAAAATGTAATATTTTTAGTAGAAACCATATGAGCCAGGGACAGCGGTGTGTACCTCTACAGTCCCAGCTACCCGGGTGGCTGAGACAAGAGGATCACTTGAGGCCAGGAGTTCAAGACCAACCTGAGCAACACAGTGACGCTCTGTCTCTAAAAAAAATTAAGAAAAAGCCATCTGTCACCACACTGCCCAGAGGTAGCACTGAGTGTCTATCCTTCCAGTATTTTCTCTTTTTTCATATCTGTTGCTTTTCTTAAAAGGATCAAACTTGTTGTGCTGCTTCATCACCTGTTCTTTTGTTGTGCTGTTTCATCACCTGTTCTTTCCTCCTGCTCAGCCACTTAGCTCCCATTTTCCCAGCATCATCAGGAATTCTCAGTGGCTGCGTGCGTCGCAGCACTAAGCCATGGCGTGACCGTGCAGTTATTTAACTTGCCTCCTATTTGAGGGCCTTACTCATGGAATCCTACACTAAGCCCATGTGGCGCAGGATTCCACTCATAAGAATTGTCTAGAACAGGCAGATTCATAGAGACAGAAAGTAGATCTGTGGCAGGCTGGGGCTGGGGGGGAGGACTCAGGAGTGACTGCTAATGAGGATAAGGTTTCATTTTGAGGTAATGAAAAGGTTCTAAAATTGGTGTTGTACGGTCCTGTGAATATACCGAGAAACACTTTACATGGGAGAACTGTATGAGATGTTAATTATTAAAATATCCCAGTAAAGCTGTTTAAGAAAAAAAAAGAATGATATTTTTTTAAGTAGAGAATATATGGGGAAAAAGTTAATAGGTGATGTCTAACAGGATAAATCTATAAATACTGGCATAAATCGGTTTTTTAAATTATGGAAGAATCACCAAAAGAAACAGCTAAAGGGTTTAAGGGGGTTACTGCCGAGGAGTAAGACTGAGGTGGGGGGAGTGGAATGGGAGTCTCCTCTGCACTATTGAAGTTTTTGTCTTTATTAGCAATGTATTTTTTAAAAATAGAATAATCTGCCAGATGTGGTGGCTCATGCCTGTAATCCCAGCACTTTGGGAGGCTGAGGTGGATCACGAGGTCAGGAGTTCAAGACCAGCCTGGCCAACATGGTGAAATCCTGTCTCTACTAAAAATACAAAAATTATCCAGGTGTGGTGGTGTGTGCCTGTAATCCCAGCTGCTCCGGGGCCTGAGGCAGAAGAATTGCCTGAACCCTGGAGGTGGAGATTGCAGTGAGCCAAAATCACGCCGCTGTACTCCAGCCTGGGCGACAGAGCGAGACTCCGTCCCCTCGCGTCCCCGTGCACCCCCCTCCGCCAAAAAAAAGAATAATCTCAGTGACAGTTGGCACTGGGTAGAAGACACAAGTCCTCCCCCGAGCAGAAGTTGGAGTCAAGCCTGCAGAGTGTGGCTTGTGGGTGGCCCCGCCCGTGGCAAACTGTCCTGACTGCCATTTCCTTCCCAAGATGCAGCCGTCTGATGAGGCCACGGCCCCTCGAGCCCTCAGGAGCTTTGCAGAGAGGAGGACATGTGCCCCAGGCGAGGCCTCTGGACCTGTGTTCCTGTGCCAAAGTCCTGCCAGGCTGGTGGGCACCAGGAAAGGCCTGCACCCTCTTCCTGCTTTCCCAGGAAGCCAGCTCCCTGAGCGCCTGAGCAGGCAGGAAACCCTTTCTCCCACCTTCTGGGGGAACATCCCTCCCTTCTGGGAAAGGGAAGCAGCCTCCAGGGAATTCTGTTTTCGGCCTTCCTGCTTCTAGAACCACCTCAGGTACTGACGCCCCCCACTTAGCACAGCTGGAGGGGTTTGTGAATACTCCTGCCCAAATCCCTTCTAATTCTCACTTCTCAGGGGAGTGAAGCCTTAAGAAACAAAGCCCCCTCCTAATTTATCTGGTTGTCAATGGGTCTTAGAGATACCCACTTTCCTGAAGCAAGGCGTGCCTGTAGAAACACTATGTGGTCAGCCTGTGCCCAAGGAGACCTCATGTCTCCTCTCCGTCTCTGCCTTTGTTACCATTGTGCATGTGTTTGTGTGTTTTTTAATAAAATATTGACTTGGCCAGTTGCACAGGGATTTCTTATTGAATGAGAAGACTGCAAAACCTGGCCTGAACAGTTTCCACTGGAGCTTGTCTGGCCCTGGCCCTCCACCCGTGCTGTGCGTGCCCTTGCTGAACTGCTGGACTTCAGGTTTTCTCTCCATCTTGGGGGACGGTACAGCAGGGCTGAGTTTTAGGTAAACATGTGCAGGTTCTCATTATATTCACATCCTCCTCCTGCTACACCAATCTTCTCATTTTGGAACGAGCTTTAGAGGAAGCTGAGGGTTGTGTTTACTATGATGATTGATTATGTTGTCCTAAATGTGCTGCTTCCCTGGTCCTGAGCTGCTCAGTTGGCTAGAAAAAAGAGGGACGGAACAGCGTTTGGGCACCCCCGTGTGCAAGGACCTGCATTCACGACCGCATGTAACAGCAATTAGAGTGACTCCAAGAGGGCAGTTATAGGACCACATTTTTAGAAATGAAATCGGGGCTCCCATCCCAATGCATAGGGAAAACCCGTGGGGAGCCGGGCTCAGGATGTAGGTCTGCCTGACTGCTGGCCCTGTCCGTGCCTCTGCTGAGTGTTGCTGGGAATGGAGGCACCCCCGTGGGCTTTGAGCTTGCGGCTGCTGGCCAGCTCGGGGCAAGTGGCTCTGTCTGGGATGATCTAAGGAAGCAGCACCCGTGGTGTATCTGAACCCCAGTGCTGCCGATGGGAGGGGATCCTGGGTACCAGCTGGGCCGGAACGGAAACGTGGCTGAGCTAACACTGGCCTGGTCGGTTCCTCGGGGGCAATGGGATGGAGCAGCCTGGCTGAGGGCGCGGTCCAGGTGAGGCAGTGGGTCTGGGAGCCGCCTGCCTGCGGACTGACAATGCGGACCTCGCCAAGCAAGTAGGATCCGGGTTTGACCATTCGAGCCTCCCCCTAAGAGGGCAAAGGTGGGGGACAGTCGGAGGGGTAGTCGCAGGAGCCAGTCTGCTCAGTGAGGACGGAAAGCAAAACGCAGAGCCAGGCGAGGCCCCCGCAGACCGCGAGCAGCGGACCATGCCGCCAGCGGCTTGGATGAGGGGTGGCTGTTTGAGGTCAAAGGACCTTTTTAGAAACCGGGGTTTCTGTGGCCTCCCGAAAAACTGCCTGGTAAAATCGTTCCTTCTAAGTGGCCACATCCTCAGCACCCGGGAGTAAATGTTTAAGCAAAGAGCTAACGTCAGATTGGGGGCAGCAGATGTAGGGCTGAGCCCAGCTCTGCCACTGCCTAGCCCCCGACGTGGCATGGGGCCATCCCGCTGAACCTTCGTTCCCCCAGAATGAGCCCATCCTGCCTGTCTGTGACCTTCCCGGAATTCACCAACATAGCAGCGTGCTTATGTGATTGCTGTCTTTCTAGTCTTAATCCCCAGAGGTACCACAATGACAGGAAAGCAGGTGAATGCTGAGAAAGTGATTGACTCACCCGGGCGCCAGGGGGCCGGAAAACATAATTTACTTTTAGTTTCCTGGACCCTGAATTTTGTTAAAGTCAAGATTGGAAGCTGAGGGCGGTTTTCAGCTGGGCACTGGGGCCCTTGGTGGACAGAGGGCATGATGAGATGCCCGTGGGAACTGGGTGGGGGAACACACCCCCAGCAGCCTGCTCTGAGCTGAGTCATGGGGGTCCTTCCTGCCAGAGGCCCACTAACCTCCCGTAACCTGGCGAAGGGGACACTGGCTTTTCACTTCTGAAGTATGACAATGACCTTCAGATCCTCTGCTCCTCTAGCTCTTTTAGCCCTGGTGGCACCCCCGCCACTTGGGGACTTTTTGGAAGCAGGGCCAGCACCGCTGAGCCCTCATCTTGGCGCCCTCTGCACAGAGCGGCTCTCCATTGGCAGTTGAAGATGCCGTTGACAGCAGGGAGAAGGAGACCCTCTGGTGACTCACTGCCCCTGGGCACAGCTTCAACCCTAGGGAGTGAATAAGCCAGGAGGACAGTGCCACTCAGCTGCCCCAGGGAAGACCAGTCTCTAAACCCAGCCATTAACTCATCACTGTGCAGCACGCCCTGGGGAGCAGCCAGCCTTCCTCCAAGAAACTGACATGCACAAGGTCTGAAACAGGAGCCAGGCATTCCTAAGCCTTGCCCACAAGCTGGATGTCACCTGGCAGCTGGTTAGAAGTGCAGGATCCCAGGCCCCACAAAGACCAACTGAAATAGAATCGTCTGCACTGTAACCGAGCCCCAGTGGTGTGTATGCACCGCAACATGCCTGAGGCTCTGGAATCAAAGGTGCTCTGGGGTGGGTGCAACTCTGAGGCTGATTTCACCAAAGGAGGAAGGAGATGGGAAATGGTATCAGTTGGTGGGTGTCTGAAGTAAACCCTACTTCTTGCTGGACCCACAGCTGCACTGGAGGAAAGACTCCTTTTAAGAAGTAGCTAATGAGCCAGGCACCGTGGCTCATGCCTGTAATCCCAGCGCTTTGCAAGGCTGAAGCGGGTGGATCACCTGAGGTCAGGAGTTCCAGACCAGCCTGAGAAACATGGTGAAACCCCATCTCTACTAAATACAAAAAAGTTAGCCGGGCATGGTAGCATATGCCTGTAATCCCAGCTACTTGGGAGGCAGAGGAAGAAGAATCACTTGAACTCGGGAGGCAGAGATTGCAGTGAGCCAAGATTGCGCCGTCATTGCATTCCAGCCTGGGCAGCAAGAGTTAAACTCCATGTCAAAAAAAAAAAAAGTAGCTAATGAGTGTTGGGCTTAATACCTAGGTGATGGGTTGATCTGTGCAGCAAACCACCATGGCATACGTTTACCTGTGTAACACACGTTTACCTCTGTACATCCTACACATGTACCCTGGAACTTAAAAGTTGATTAAAAAAAAAAAAAAGGGCCGGGCGCGGTGGCTCACGCCTGTAATCCCAGTACTTTGGGAGGCCGAGGC